GATAGGGTTGGAATTTATCTATTTGGCCTTTAGAGTTATAGAAACCTCGTCCTCAAAACACCAGTTAGTGAAAATCTAGAAATAAAGATAAGAGATTAGAATCGCCCAAGGATTAAAGTCTGGCTGGACTGCAAAGGCCTATAGACTTCTTAATTGAGGCCATAAAACAAACAGGTAAAGCTGCCTTGAGGAGGCAGAGTTCTCATTGTCTATGGCCATCAGCTTTACAAACAGCTAACATAGCCACAGCCTTTGGAAGGAAGAAAAGACTAGGGAATGTTCTTAGACTACAGGTCAAGAGGGCTGGGGAATAGTTCAGGTGGTAAAATACTTGCCATACTGGTTTGAGGATAGGCATTTGACACCCAGCACCTGAGTAAAAATCTGGGCATGGTGACAAGTGCTTGTCACCCCAGTGTTGGGAAGGTGAGGCCAGGCTCAAAATAAAGTGGGAGCTGGTGAGTTCAATCACCAGAACTCACATGGTGGAAGGCTCCTGAAAATTGTCCTTCAACCCCTACATGTGTTGTGATATGCATAATACAGACATACACATGGATATACACACACGCACACAGGCACTCCCCCACACACCTGTGCACACAGAAACATACACACAACTCTACACGTGCACCCCTTGAACAGATTTCAGAATCACAAGATTATAGCAGTAGGCATCCTTTTATTGTATGTCTGAGAACGACAAACATAACTGTACTGATTGAAGCCAAAAGGAGTCAGGTCCCTTGGGACTGACGCTATGATGGTTGTATGCCATCACGTGGGTGCAGAGAACCAAACCCAGGTCCTCCGAGAGAACAGTCACTGCTCTTATCTGCTAACCTCCCAGAAGTGGGCATTCTCTTTTATGTGTTCGGATCCAGGGTGTGAGAGTAACTCCCTCACTCATGGTATCTTGGACTGCTCCCTTGGAAGCAAGAGAATAGCCTAGGACATGAATGGATAAATCTCCATGATGCTGCTCTCTCAGACAGCATGTTCCACCTGTGAGTGTCTCTAGGGGATTTCTATCTTTGGTGTTAGTGGGAACTCATTAAAGACTACATGTGGGCCAGTGAATTGGCTCAGTGTGTAAAAGGTGCTTGCTGCTAAGCCTGATAATCTGAGTTTGATCCCAGGGATATGGTTGTTCGAAGAGAACTAACTCCTGAAAATTGTCTCTGACTTCCATGTGCATATTGAAGAATGTGTGTGTGTGTGTGTGTGTGTACATGTGCATGTGTGTGTTAAGCACATCATAGCACATGCAGAGTTGGAGGACAATTTTCAGGAGCCTTCCTTCCACCATGTGGGTTCTGGGGATTGAACTCACCATCCTCTATTTTATTTTCAGAGATAAAATCTCTCACTGAGACATCAGCCTGGCACACACACATTCACACAAATAAAAATCTTAAAACAGTATAAAAATAAAATAAACACTACATGGGTTTATCACCAATAAACAGAGGCAAAAAAAAAACTCAAACAAGGTAATATTTAAGCTTCAACTAAAACAGATCAGCTAAGCGGTGGTCAGGGGAACTGGTGAATAGTATTTGAGAGAGCCCACACGAATCCCTCAAAGATATCAGTGGTGACAGGGACCCAGGTATAGCTTCAAATTGTTACCCAAGGCAATCAGAAAAGTTCCCTTAATTTTTAAAAAAGCTGGATTCAGGCAAACCTGGGATTTGTGTCTTTGACACAAAAAAGAATTTCACAAATAGCCAGTATGAAGCAGAGTTGGACATCTACTAAAAATAGAAAGAAATGTACTCAAGAGAAGAATAAAAATACACCCCAAAGCATAGCTGCGGGGTGCTCAAAGGAGAGTCACTGTAAACCATGGTGGTGGGGGGTGGTCAAGAAAAGACTCAAGAACACAGCAGGACAGATCCAGGTGTGGGTGTAGGCTTCCTAGGGGACTCACAGTTAAGTGTCTCAGCATTAGTTACAGTTGGTGGGTCTCAAAGGGTTACTAAGAACGGTTTAGTCCCCCTTCTCTCTCCTGATGTTTTAAATGCATTTTGTGTGTGTGTGTGTTTGCGTGCGCGCGCGCACGCACGCATGCGTGTAAGTCAGAAAACAGTTGGTTTTCTCCTTCCATTATGTGGGTCCTGGAGATGGCTGGAACTCGGTTGTTAGCCTGCCAGTTTTTACTCACTGAGCCATTACACTGGCCTTTCTATTTCTCTTTGATAAGGGAGATTATAGGGTCTCTGGAGGTAAAACCAGAGACTACGTAGGTGCACAAAGAACAAATCCTTTTACTCTTTAATGAGGATTTCTGGTAAGATTCATAAACTGCAGGTGTTCACATAAGAAGAAAGGCAAATGTCAGTTGTGTTGGGATTTTTGAAGCTGGGAAGAGGCTTCGACAAGACCCTGGGCTGAGGGGTTCCTTTCTCTTCACAGGTCCTCATAATTTGTCCTGGTTTTTCCTTCTGCTTCTCTTTGACCTCAGATGGAACCCTTAGCCGCTCACTGCCTCCCCTGTCCCAGACAGGGCCACACAAGTGAAAACCTGTGAAAAAGCATTGTGACTCATGATTGAATACCCCATGGGCCATCAGTCACACCCCGGCCTAGCAAGTTTAGCTGTGACAGACAGGACTGGGTAGGTTCCCAGTGTGTATCTGTTTATTGGTGGAGGTCATGGGGGCAGGATTCTGCTCTGTCATCTTCTCCCCAGCCCCACCCCCACCCCCTTTATAGAGGAGGAAGTTGCAATCAGAGGGAAGGGAAAATTGCCCAAGGCCATCACTGAGTCAGAGTAAGAGCAAAGACTTGAACTCAGGACCTTGGGCTAAGTAAGAGGAAGAAGGTGCTTCTGGGCTGAGACACTGCGCAGGGCTTTCCCATCCTGGGCTGGCAGCTTTATGGTTCATTAAGTCTCTGGACATTTCAGTGCCCATCTCTCCTCTAACCATCCTACATCAGGGTTGGCCCCAGATGCTTGGAAAATGTGACGGATAGCTAGCTGGTTTATGGCAGGCCAGGACTGGAGATTAGGCTGGGAGGTAGGGTTGGAAATGATATGACAGGGAAAGATGGAGGTGGGACATGCAGGAAGGCTGTCATAGCACGGGCCCCTGGGAAGCCAAGGAGTCAGAGATGTGAGATGGAAACACTTGGATGAGGGGTCATAGCTAGTGTCCCTCAGAAGAGCCTTCCTCTGAGGGGCCGCCTGGAAAACTGGCCGGAATACATCCTAGCTTCCCACACTTTCTTCCAGGGACCCCAGTGCTATTAGTCTTTTGAAATAAATACAGAAATCGCTGATGGATAGTAGCCTGCTCAAGCTATCAAATCTCTCCCCTGCTCGTCAGGAGGCTGGCCTAGGTCACAGGAACATCCTGAATCCTTAGCTCCTCCTTTGTCATTCCTAAAAGGGACATTTTCAGCCCCATAAACACAAATCCACCTTCCAAATAAGGCTCAAAGAGAGTGGAATACCAGGATCCCAGGTTAGAGGTTAAATTCCAGGGCAGAGCAGACAATAAGACCCTAAGCCTGACAGGGACACCCTCCCCCACCCTCTCTGTAGGATCAAAGCTGCCGGTGTAGGCTGTGATCCTAGGCCAAAGAGAGGAGCAAGCCAGACTCAAGAAGGGAGGAAGGCCCTTTGCTTGGATTGTTCTGATGGAGTCGGTCCTCTTCAGAGGTTCAAAGGCTGGGGCAGGGAGAGGGTGATGTGATAAGAATTTGGCAACGGATAGGGAAGTAGCTGGACCAGAAAAATGGGGCTTCCTGTTGATTGATGGAGGAGTTCAGGTGTACTGCCTGAATCCTTGTCCATCTCCCCAACCTCGTCCTAGATTCCAAGCTTCCCAGGAATGCACAGACTCCCTGTGAGACGTAAGGGACCTCCACAGAGAGCAGCAAGAAGTGCTTGCCTGGAAGTGAGGCCATATCCATTTCTCTGGATATGGGAGACCGCTTATTCAAGGAATTTTTTTTTTCCTGAGGATTCTTTCTGTCTGATGGGAAAATTAGGGGTGCGTTCAGACTCTTGGTTTTTATTTCTCTTCCCCAACTCTCATCCACTAAGTCGGATCTCAAAAGCACCCAGTTCTTTTCCCTACGGCACCATGGGCTTTCCTAGTAAACCACTATATAAACCAATTTTCTATCGTGTCTCTCCGCTCCTGCCCCCACCCTTCACTTTACCATCCCCTTCTCAGCCCTTCGACTCCCCACTCCACCCCTTCTCCTTGGCTTAGCACAAAAACCGCCAGTAACAGCACTTCAGGGAGCTTAGCGCTAGGTAGGAAGACGGGTCTTAGTTTCTTTAAAATCGAGCTTGGATGTAGCTCACTGGTAGAGTGCTTGCATAGTGTGAGAACTAGGGAAAGAAAAGGACTGGGAGTGGGGAGGAGCATTATCATCGTTGTTGTCGTCATCACCATAATCATCATCTCCAGTCCCGAGAAAGAAAACACAAAACAAATCAAGTTTGAAACAGCCAGGAAGGAAAAAGATGAGACTGGAGAGTCAGCTACCGCTTCCTCAAAGAGCCTCTCACCGCGCATCTCTTCAACAAAACAGCATTGCAAAGCTTTCAACCGTTCCGATTCTTGGTCTTCCTGAGACCATTTGCATCCATCCTGACCCAAATCAAGTTTATTCCAAGGACACACTAGGGACCCTGAAGAGTGGTTAGCGGCAGCATGATGGAAGCTTTGAGTCCGGGAAGATACCCTGTGGGTCAGGTACCTGAGGATAGCTTATCCTTCTTCCGGGATCAGTGACCAGGATGGGGGCAAGGTGGGAAGACTCCGCTTCTAAGCCATGAAGATGTGGAGTGGGTGAGGGGTCTTTTCGCCATGGGCGAAGGTAGGCGGGGAGATGATTCTTTTCGATCTGAGACTGGACGAGGTGAGGAGAGGCTCCGCCAGGAGGAGGAGCCGCCTCCCACGTCCTGCCGTCCAGGCTCTATAAAGCCTCAACCCGTATGATCGCGACGCCTCCGGTGGCTTCGTTGGTGCTTGACCCAGGCTTGGCAGCGTCTTTTCCCTCAAGCACCATGAAGCTCTTCCTTGCTCTGCTTGCGCTGGCTTACGTGGCCCCCTCTACTGAAGGTACCCTCGGGTGACCCTCTGCGCCCCCAGACCCGGTACCCTTGCTAGCGCGCTCCGGCTGCGCGTTGTTCGTGCAAAGAACCGTGATGCTGCAGCGGACCTGGTTGTGTGTGAGCGTGGGCGCCTACACGTGTCCGCGGGAGGCTGCGGGGGAATGTGTGCCCGCATGTGCGCGGCCGCGGGGTGTCCGCGTGGCGGACGCGCATGTGATCTGTGGTGAGGATGCTTCTCCGACCCGCCTGGATCTACGGTCCTTTTCGCACCTTGGTTCTCCTGGGTTTGCCCGTGGGTGGCGAGTGGCGGACTGTCCTGCAGGGACTCTGAGCCGGTAACTGTTGCCCACCCAGAACAAACGCAGCAGATTGGATGTATTGGGGTCCTGGTGTTCCCTTCTCCTGACCCTAGAGTCCTGCCCCCTGAGCTTCAAGCTCCCTTCTTCCCTTCCCCCAGTGCTGGATTGGGAGCCTGGCGGGGGGCATCCTAAGACCCAAGTCCCTGGCCAAGCCGGTCTTTCCAGACAAGGTGATTTTCGTTTAAAGATTAATGGTGAGACCGAGCTCTTAATTATTCTTCTAGGTGGGAGGTGGCGGTAGAGGCGTGTTAATATTTGATAAGGAGCTACAGGCGATTCTAGCGGTTGGCACCTTCTCCACTACCCCGTAGCTCTTCACAAAGACTTCATCTCTTAGTCGACAACCAAGCTTTCCCGTCCAACGGGGCCAAACCTCCTTTCCAGAGTTAGGTGCTGTGCCCTGGAATGTAGGGTGGGGGGTACGGTGGGGAGGTGAGGGAGCTCTGAGCCACCCAGAAGGAAAGAGAATATTCTCCATTGCAGGAGGGACTTAGCTTGGAGGATGTAAGGCATTTTGCAACAACTCCCAAGCTCCTTCCTAGGGGAGGGAAAAGAGCAGCTAATATGTTAAAGGGCAGAGTGTTTGTGTGTGTGCGTGTGTGTTTGTGTGTGAATGTGTGTGTGTGGCGGGGAGTTGGGCACTTTAAAAGACGGAAAGGAAAACGTTTTTAAATTAACGGGTGCCTTGTACCTGTTCACCTTGGGTAAGTTGTGTAACGTGTTCTGTCATTTACAAATCGAGTTTAGTAGTTCTGTTCCTGGGTGCTGTTTTAAGGATAAAGGGTATAACAGCTTAGACAGTTCACTCTACAAGATGGTCATGAGGCCCAGTCAGTGACCTGGGGCCATGTAGCCAGGAATTCATCTCAGCTGACTTCTTCACACAAACTATTCCCGTTTTAGTGCCAGGACCACCTTCCTTCGTGCATAGTCCTGGCAGGATTTGAAAGTGCCTAGGTTGCCAGTAAAAATCCTCAGAGCGTTTACTCCCAGAGAGAGGGAATATCCCAGCCCTTTGGAGCTCTAGACCCCTAGCCAGGAAGTTCGAAGACTTTGCTCAGGACATACACGGGTTCTGCCAAGCTGATTACAGGAGTCTTTTCCCTTTCCTCAGAGTGAGGGTGGAGTGAGCAAGGTCCATTAAAATCCAGTCCTCTCTAAAAGGCTCCTGGACCCTGAGCCAAAAAGTAAATTCTTACCTTAAAATTAAGGGGAAGGGGAGGCTTGTAACTAGGGACAGAGGACAGTGGCTTAGTTGGTGGGGGTAGGGGGTAGGCAATGTTTTGTCTCTAACCCCTGGAGGTGTACTAGGTAGGACACGGAGCTGGGAGCCTCTCTCCTTTATCATGGTCATGACCAGAGGCATGCAGACCATTGTAGAGGTTATTCTCTGCAAAGGTTGCCCCTCAGAAGCAAGTGTGGGAGCCTAAGCTGACCGGTGCCCTGCCACCTGACTGTAAGATGCTGACCCCTAACCCCTAGCCCTGCATCCGCAGCATTGTTTTTCTGGTCACCACCTCTCAGAGAGAGTCGTTACAAGAGTGTTCAGCCAAGCAGGTCAAAAGTCTCTATGATTAAGACAATGGATCAGAGGTCATACTACAAACCAGGGAGCTGGGGCCAGAGCCAGGGAAGAGAAGATTCCTGAGAAATGCCCAGATGGGCTACTCCCGAGGCAAGCCTGACGGCTCTGCCCTCCCGAGTTGGCCTTTTCCAGGAATAGCTTCCCCTTAGGCCCCAAGTGCTAAGGAGGGGCTGCTCTTCCACGGCTCTTCATGGAAGCCTGCCCTCCTTCCGGGTCCTCCTAGGGCCAGTGACCCAAAAAGATGTAATAGTCCCTCTCCTCGCTGTGACTGGCCAGTCTTTCATCTGGTCTGAGAATTTGGGGTAGAGCCTCTGTCTCTGGAGAACCTTGAGGCTCAGACAAAGGAATCTCACTGCAAAGATTAAGCAATAGGCAGGGGAGAGGAAGAGCAGGCCGGGAAGGATAGGGAACAGACTCCAGCTTCCTGAGGCAGTCTGCCCACCTCCAGGGTTGACGGCCACTGCTCTCTGCAGATTTTGCAGACTCATGGACTCATGCATATCTCTCCCCAGTGCAGCAGCTCCCATAGGATAAACTACCATGGGGAAGACCCTGCATCTCTAAGCTGGAATGAATTCTGATACAGTTCTAGGAAGCTGGTGAATCCAAAGTGGCCCTTGGAGGCCAAGAGAGGGAGGTCAGCTTCCTGGAGGGCTCACTCTACTAGCCTAGAACCTCGTTCCTCCTGGCTACCAAGAGCATGGGTTTTATACTACCCGCTCATCCTGTCCCCATTTCAGGGATGGATGCTCTGCCCAGACTAAGTGGAGATGGGGCTTGGGAGTGCAGACCTCAGGCAAGAAAGAGAGGCTAGCAGCACATTGGTACACACCTATAATCTCACTACACTGGGAGATGTTACCTCAAAAGAAAAAAAAAAAAAGGACTGGTTCTGTAGCTAAGTGGTAGAGCACTTGCCTGGCATGTTGTACAAGACCCTAGGTTCGATTCCTAGCACTGGAAGAAAAAAAAAAAATCCCACAAAGCCCCCAGGAGGGAAAGGCAGATGACTCAGCGTGAGAACACATGGCTGAGTGGAGTACAGCACTTCTCTCAGGAATGTCCTCATCCGTGAGTCCTTTCCAAGTCACGCCACGTCTTTTCCTCTCCTGCCTTGGATTAGCTTTGGCCATCTGCTCAGTAACAGGAGGCCAGAGAGGAGGGGAAGAGTTGCCTGTGAACCTACCAGATGAGTATATGCTGCCCGGAGGCGTTTATATCACCTCTCGTTTAACCCTCTCTGCAGTCTCATGAGTGCCCATGTTCACTCTATTTACAGATGATAAAACCAAAGAGAGTGTGGGACCATCTTTGTTTTTCTTTTTTAAGATTTATTTATGTTATTTATATGATTACACTGTTGCTGTCTTCAGACACACCAGAAGAGGGCATCGGATCCGATTACAGGTGGTTTTGAGCTACCATGTGATTGGTGGGAATTGAACTCAGGACCTCTGGAAGAGCAGTCAGTGTTTTTTTGTTTTTTTTCTCGAGACAAGGTTTCTCTGTGTAGCCCTGGCTGTCCTGGGACTCACTCTGTAGACCAGGCTGGCCTCGAACTCAGAAATCCGCCTGTCTCTGCCTCCCAAGTGCTGGGATTAAAGGTGTGCACCACCACTGCCCGCCCAGTCAGTGCTCTTAACTGCTGAGCCATCTCTCCAGTCCATAAGCGACCATTTTTAAATATAGGATTTCTACTGGTCAGTCAGAATAAGGGATCATCCTTTAAATACAGGACTCCTAGATGGCTCCATCAAGAATTCTAATTTTGGATGAAGTGCTTCATTCACCCTGTTGATGAAAAGGCATGTTGTTTTGTTTCTCTGTCTGTCTCTGTCTCTGCCTATCTCTCTCTCCCTCTCTCCTCCTGTAGACCTTATTTCTAGAGCAGATTTAGATTTACAAAAGTGGAGCATAGTGCCTGCTCCACGGCCTGGATCAGCACCCCTTCTCTAAATTCCCTCTCCTCTCAAGAGTCTGGTTGGAAAACTTGAACCTACTCCATTGTTCCAGAAAGGACAGTCCTAATCCTTCACTCTCAGTTGAGCCTCCTCTTAGGAAGGATGCAGGAGAGAAGAGAGACCGGTGAGCCAGGGACAGAGCTATGCCCTTCGAGATCCCTGAAGATCTCACGTTAGGCATGTTGGCCTGTCTGTGTTGCTGACATTCCTATGCTTATTTTATTTTCTTTTTTTTATCATTATTATTATTTTTAATTTTTTTTAAGAATTTTCTTTTTTTTTAAAAGATTTATTTATTTTATGAATGTGAGTACACAGTTGCTATGATCAGAAACACCAGAAGAGGGCATCAGATCCCATTACAGATGGTTGTGAGCCACCATGTGGTTGCTGGGAATTGAACTCAGAACCTCTGGAAGAGCAATCAGTGCTCTTAACCACTGAGCCATCTCTCCAGCCCCTTATTTTATTTTCAAGACATGGTTTCTCTGTGTAGTCCTGGCTGTCCTGGAACTCATTCTATAGACCAGGCTGACCTTGAACTCCTGCCTCTGCCTCCCAAGTGCCACCACCAGTTAGCCATTCCTATCAAGTCTATCACCCTAGGGACCTCAATTCCACACTAGAAGCCTTCTATCTCAACCCAAGAGAGGGCTTTAACGCCAGAGTTTCCAAGGTTCACAGTCTTTCTCTCTCTGTTCCAGACTCATCAAATTGGTGCTATGAGGTTCAAGCCAGGGAGCCCAACAGCCAGTGCTTGGGTGAGTACTGCCAGTCTTCATCAGCAACTTCTAACACAGGCACACTCACACACATTTCCAGCACTCAGTGAACAGGGGACAATGAATGACACGGGAAGCTAAATTAGCAGCATATTTTGCTATTTTTTTCCAACAAAATGGAGATTTGAGTCTGGTCAAGCCCTTTGAGGTGGAAGCGGGAGATGGTTCTTGGTAGTTTGTTTATCGAGTGCTGAGGGATCCAGGACCTTGTACATGCTAGACAAGAAGCATTCTACCACTGAACCATGCCCCTCACTGCTTCTTGGGCACTTTTTCTAATTTGACTAATTTCCCTGTAGCCTGCTGTGTTGAGGGACATCCTCTCTCTTGCCCCTACCTAGCTGCCTACCTGGGTCTTCCTCCCTTCTCCTTCCACTCCTTAGGCATTGCCTTGTCGGGTCCAGGGTCTGTTCATCACAGCTCTTCCAGGAGGACCTCCTCCACGGTGTACAAAGCTGAAAAGCCATCTCCTACTCAGCGACCTTTAAACTTCCCAACATCCCCTTAGATCATGTCCAGGTTCCCACTGAGAAAGGCAGAACTCAGCATCATGAGGTTATTCCAATCCCAGAGCTCTTAAACATCAATGGCAAGCCTGCTTCTCCCTCTACCCCTCAACCGTCAGTCACATCAGAGACCCACTAGCCTGCCTATGTCATGTCAGCATGTTGGAGGAAGAAGGGGAAGGCCAGGGCAGAATTCTGAGACTTATGTCCTGATCTGGGACCTCACCAGCATTCTAGGACCTTAATTCACATCAAGGGGTCAATGTGTACTTGACTCTCAGACTTTTCTTCCCTGCTCAGGGCCTGAACAATGGACTGGAAACTGTAAGGGGGAAAATCAGTCCCCCATTAACATCGTCATTGCTAAGTCAAAGGTGAACTCCAGCCTGACACCCTTCACCTTCGTCGGCTATAACCAAAAGAAGCGTTGGATAATTGAGAACAATCATAACACAGGTGGGTCCTGCATGGGCCGAGTGGGATCTCCAGGCAGGGGTAACTGTGCAAGGATGGTGAGTCCTTCAAACCTGGAGATGGGAGAAGCCACCAGGGGAGCTTGTAGAGAGGAGGATGATCTAGCTAGCTGGGTTTTTAGTCATTTCATCAGAACAGTGGGGACTGGAGGAAACCTCATCAGAAGGAGGGGACGACTTTTTTGAAAGCACAGAGGTGTGAAACTACTTGGGTGTTTGAGTGGGAGCAGCTGTGTGTGGATGGAGGCCATTGAGGGAAGCTAGGAGGAGCTGACCAAGGCCCAGAGCAGATAGTCAGGTCAGGGCGTAGGAGTTTGGACGTTATGGGGATACCAGGGCACCATGGAGGGAGTCAAAACACAAGCAGGCCCAGGACAGGGCTACATTTTGGGATAGGTATATGAGAGTTGAGGTGAGTGGGGAAGCAGTGAGCAGCTAGCCAGAGTGCTGGCCACATCTCACATCCCATCCCTCAGGGCCTAGGCCTCAAATAGTGAGGGTGAGAGGGAAAAGCTGGGGTAGGAACTGAGAGGGCCAATGGAAGGCCGGAGTGAGGACTCTGCCCACTCTGGTATCTCCTAGTGACGATACCTCTGAATGGGGGCATGTGCATTTTGGGAGGTAACCTGCCTGGCCGGTACGAGGCCATCAAGTTGCACCTGCACTGGTCACAGGAGCGGAACAGGGGTTCAGAGCACACCATTGAAGGAAAACGCTATGACATGGAGGTAAGAAGCCGTGGAACTGGGTCCTGGGCTGGGTTCCAGGTGTATACTCACCTTGGGGAGGATAGGTGGTCCAGCTGCCCTGAGTCCTCCATTCGCATGTGCTTCCTAGATGCACATCTTGCATAAGAAGATAGTATCTGGCGATAAGGTGCAGGACTCCAACGACAAGTATGCAGTGCTGGCATTCATGATTCAGGTGAGTCTCCCATCCCCTTGATCCTGGAGGTTGCCTGTCCTCTAGAAAGAGCTGCTTGGCTGCAGCAGCTCCCAGAGAACCCATCTCATGCTTCTTTCTCTCCTGTTCCAGGTATCAGAGAAGATGAACGAGGGCTTCCAGCCCCTAATAGAAGCACTGCCCAGTATCTCCAAACCCAGTGAGTCGGGCTGGGGGAGGGAATGGCTTCTTCCCATGATGAGAGGGGTAGAGGCGCTAGGACAGCTGCTTTAAAGAGAGCCATATATAAGGCTTTGTCTCCCACCTCAGATTCAAACACTGCACTGAAGGAGCTCCGCCTGGAGGACATGCTTCCCTCGAGCGAGAAAATGTATTACTACTTCCGTTACCAGGGTTCACTAACTACACCAAACTGTGATGAGACCGTCATCTGGACTGTGTTCAGGGAGCCCATTAAGATCCACAAAGACCAGGTACCCAGACCTGGGGCAAAGTGCACTCTCCCATAGGGAGCCTAGTTCCTTAAGGCCCTATCTATTTGCTCCACGAGTCCCTGGGGTGGTAAGATAAGGCTCATTGAGTCAGACCCTGGGTTTCCGCTGGTGGACACAGACAAGAAAGTAGCCTCACAGAAGTGAGAAGTCCCAGAGGGTGCTTGGAATAGGCTTCCAGAAAATGTGGGGGGCCAGTGTTCCAGAGGGACCTGAGGTTGGACTTCCTTAGTGCTATTGGGAAGTCACTCAACAAACAACACTTGAGTTTACAATAGCCTCTGGAAAGACAGCAGGAAACCCAGACGACCAAAATCTCTAGAGCTTATAGCAGTGATTCTCCGTGTGATGTCAACATCTTCACCAGTGAGAATTTTTTAGAAATGCCCATTCTTAGTCTCACCTTGTATCTATCGAGTCATATTCTGGGGCCAGGGGCCAGGCATCTGGAGTTCAGTGAGCTCCTTCAGCTGATACTCAAGGATGCTGACCTTCAAGACAGTGTTACCTTAGCAACAGTGACTGTAACAGGCTTGAAAAAAGTATTTGTAGGGGACAGGGAGAGACAGTGGCACTCAACTTTCCACAAATGCCACACTTTACATTCTTGGTGATCATTCTGAACCCCTCTCTTCCTTGCTAATGTGGGCTGTCTGGTCTGAGGTCACTCAGCAGAGCATTGCTCCACCTGCTAAGCCCAATCTCTTTCACAGTTCCTGGAGTTCTCAAAAAATCTGTACTATGATCAAGATCAGAAGTTGACCATGAAGGACAATGTGAGGCCCCTGCAGAAACTGGGAAAACGCCAGGTGTTCAGGTCCCATGCTTCAGGACGGCTGATGTCTTTGCCCCTGCCCACTCTGTTGGTCCCCACACTCACCTGCCTGGTGGCCAGCTTCCTCCAGTGATGGTCCAATTCTGGATATCTGACCTCTGACCTCAGCCTTTAAAGGATATGGCTTATCTTTCTTAATCTTTTCAGGTTGAACTTTGGAAACTATTAAAATATGAGTAGCTGGCTGTGGTGTGCACACCTTTAATCCCAGCCCTGGGGAAAAGGGGACAGAGACATGTGGATCTCTGACCTTCCCCTATTCCCTGATTAAATGAAATAAAATATGGATATGTTTTTAGAAAAACCCTCTGCAAGTTTTTGGTTGTTTGTTTTTTTGGTTATTCTCTGCAATTGCCCTGTTCTCTGACAGGACAGGGACCTTAAAGCCTGGAGATTTCTCCCAACCAGGTCTGAATCACCCTACCTATGTATGTGAACACCCTATCAACATACACCCAACCTCAGAAAGATGTTGAAGGTACCTTGGAGCATCAACATGAAGAAAGCTGGAGGATTTCTCTTCCAGGCTCTCTGTTTTACAGTGGGGAAGATGAGACCCAAGAATAGAGGCTGGATGAGAGCTGCATATTAGAGCCAGAGTGCAGCCGACTTGAGGTCCTGGGTGCCCACCCCTCAGATTGTGTAGTGGGGAACAGGTTCTCTCATTTGCTCAAGTACTTCTTGAGCTTGCCCTAAAACTGGGCAGGCTACAGGAGCAAACCAGAGAGATGACTCAGCCTGGACTTCTCAGTTTTTGTCCATGTTCTCTGCATGGACAAAAGACCCACACTGTCCGAGAGATCAGGAGAGACAGAAAGCAGAAAGGGCAGCTACAGTTTCCATGGATGGTTAGAGCCAGAAGCATCTGCAAGGGAAGGAGGTCATGAGTGCTCAGGCAGGGAGGGAGGGAGGACTCCTGTCAGAAAGCAGAAGGGAGAATGGAGAAGAGGAGGGAGGGAAGAACAGAGCAGCAACTAGAGGGGTGGGAGTGGACAGTCTGTGAGCATTATAGATGCTGGATCCATCAATGGTCTTGTGCCCAGGGCCAGGATGTAGCTCTTTCACAAGGTTGCAGAGGTGAGAGCAGGGCAGAGCCAGTTCCCAGGTTTCCAGGCTCACGTTCCATGATCTATCTGCTCATGGGTCAGCAACAGATGTGACAGGAAAAGAGTCAGGCTTCCTCCCCCACTATGTCTCTCTAGTAGAGGGACAGAAAGGAGGCAGTGTGTGTGTGTGTGTGTGTGTGTGTATGTGTGTGTGTGTATATATAGACAGAAGGAAAGATGGTACTCTCCATCCATGGCAGTGTTGGAATTCTAAGCCATGAAAAATTCCTATATGGTCGCCATGAAAAATTCCTATATGGTCACAGGCCTTAAGCAAATAGAGCTGGAGCCAGGCTGCTCTAGCTGGAGCTGAGGTATGTTCCCCCCCTCCCCAGAAGGTACAAATCATTGGGACACTTCAGGCCTAGAAGGTCCTTCTGCTGGTAACCTGGGGGTAGGGTGTTTAGTTGGAGACAATGATTACCCCAGCACCCCCAATCAGCCTAGGGTAAGATGAATGGTCACTCCCCACTCCCCTATTCTTTTTTTTTTTTT